TGGAGACTTTAGATCCAGAGAGGGAGAGCGACTGTGTGCTGAAGACCTGGGGTGTACGGGGAAGGATTGCATGGAGGGGATTGTAACCATGGTAATGAGACGATATACGATAGAATGAATGTAAAACCAATGTTCTCCCATGTAAACTATCACATAATTCACAATAAAACATTTAAAAAAAAAAAAGAAATACGAGCCATAACATGAGTAGGTATATGTACACCAATGTTCATAGCAGCACTATTTACAATAGCAAAATGATGGAGACAGTCTAACTGCCCATCAACTGAAGAATGGATAAACAAACTGTGGTACATAAATACAATGAATACTATGCTACCTTGAAGAACAACAAGGAAGCAGCAAGCCACCGCATAACATGGAACCTTGAGGACATTACGCTGAGTATAATTTGTCAGTCACTAAAGGAGAAATACTGCATAGAATCATTATTGTAAAAGAACCCACCATAAAAGGGGGAAAATTATATATATTTGCTGATCACCATGATGTATGGGATGAGAGGCAGGGAGGGAGGGAGGGGAAGGTAGAGCACAAGGTAGGGAATAGACACAGGATAGCTTGGGTGCTGTGGGTTGGTGGGAGAGGGAACAATACACAAGAAGGGAGAGGGGAATGGAAAAACAAGGCTGATGGGAGAACAGTTAGGCAGGTTCACATGGGTTAAGTGGGACTGAGGTAAATGATGATGTACGCACAACCTTGGAACAACAGGGGTCCGGGATACAGGGATTGAGGCATGGTTTGAAGGGGTGAAAGAGGGGAATAATGTTAAGATACTTGGCTGTCTTTTGAATCTTGGTTTCCCTTGCCTACCATTGCAAAATAGATACTTGAGAGGGGGGAAGAAAGGAACAGCTAGAAACATCACTACAGAAATCTTGTAATTCCATCTTCAGCCTATAACTGATTGGAATACCTTAAAGGGGGCTAGAAGTTGCCCAGTGAAAGAGTCTTCTTGTGTAGCCTTTACATTGCACAAAACCATAGGTGGAATCCAGAACCCCATCCAGAATCATCTGAGGAAGGAAATTTCCACCTCACAATAAACACTTAAAAAAAAAAAAGAAAAAGAAAAAGGAGAGAATAGTTTTACAACCCAAAGAATGGAATCAATGCTACGGAACTGAACATGAACATGAATGTGCAGTTGAACGTGTGTGTGTTTTCTCAACAAAAACAATAAAACAATGGCGTGTCGGACGTAGAAATATAGTGGGGGGCGGGGGGAGCAGAGCAAAGCCACATTGAGTCTGACAGCATATTATAAAATACAAGTTTGCTCTTTATTTAAAATAAATACATAAAACAAAGCTAGCAGTTTTCTTATAATCAATGTACTCATTTGAGTGAAATAGGAATGAATCATCAGAAAACACACAAAAAAACATGCCGATTAAAGCACCCATTAGAATAAACATATATTAGAAGTTTCATTTTCCAAAAGCATAATTTATGAAAGTGTGTATGTGTGTGAGTGTTTTGGGCAATAAAAGTGGACACAAATAAACTTATTAAATAGAAAACAAAAACAGTATAGCCAATGGAGCCAAATATGGAGTTCCCAAATTGACCCATGTATGTGGTCTGTAACAAGTAGTTTGGGAGGCCAGACAATATATTTATGTTGTTGTACCATTCAATCAGTTCCCAGGAGCAGAAAACCTCATCTTTCTCTCAGGGAGCAGCTGGTGGGACTCGAACACCGATCTTGTGGTTCGCATGCAGTACAGTGTTTATCCTATAGAGGCACCGCGCTCCCGATAGATATTTACGCAAGGATTGAAAAGACAAAAACTGCTCTGGGATAATTCTAATCTGTAACACTCCGGGCTGTCATGAGTCAGAACGGAATTCAGTGCAGGTAATGGTTTGTGTTTGGTTTCACAAGCCATTAGCGAAAAGACAGACATTAAAGAAAGCGAGCAGGGACCAGTCTGAAACCACTGGGTAAAAAAAGTAAAAATGGGAGCTGTTTTTCACAGAGGCCAGAATCAGTTCCAATTACATCAGCGATGTGAATGTGAAACAATGAAGTTGTACACACGCTGGAAGAAAACACCAATGAGCTCTGTCATTCAGGGTAAGTTTTTCTAACTATGACTCAACATCCAGAAGCAAGGCAGGTAAATGTCATTACATTTGAGGGCATAAGAAAATCTCATGCCCACGTCTTCTTCAACAACCTCAAAGGACTTGTCTGCAGTCCAGGAGCCCCATCTGGCTGAGGACCCAGCCACTCCCTTGGTTGAATTTTGGCTTCCAGATACCCGAGGCTCCGCCCGGTTCTCGCCCAATCCGGTTCTCCCGGGGCTCTGATATCTACTCCCGCCGCCGCATCTGCCTCCATCCACTCCAGCCTGCTTCCTGCAGCTACGTGGAAACTTTGGGGTACGTGTGTATTGGGGATCTGCTCCTTTCGCGGCTCTTCGCTGTGCCTCAGTCACCAGGACAAGGGCTGGGAGAAGGGAGGAGCCAAGCCCCTTCCCTGGGTTCTTGCCTTTCTGCTCCTGAACCCCATGAGGCGGGGCCCCAAGGGAGGGGGACAGGGACGGAGGAGAATAGCGGGGTGGCAAGACCGGTATCTGATTCCTAAGGGAGCAGGGCCTTGCACCTGGCTCACTGCAACCCGGGGATGAACCTTAGTGTTTGTGCAAAGGAAACAGTTATTAAAGGGTTTGAGTGTTTGATTGCTCTGGAGGGTACTTGAGGATGGATTGTCAACAGGGAACTAAAGAAATGCGGGGGAAAGGCAATATTAACATGAGGAAAGCCTAGTTCTACCCCAAAAAGGAATAAGTTTGCTCATTGAGCCCAGCAAAGAATACTATTAAGGTAAAAGCAAACAGATCCTCATTCTTTCAACCAGGAACATGGTAGGCAGTGTCTAACTGAAGGGCCAGAATGGTAGCGTTCCCATGCTGTCTGTAAGTTTGCAGGGGATATCAGAAAGAAGGGCAAAAAGCTGTGTGAAATGTGGTTTCTCGGGAGCCAGGAGGGGTAGGGAGGAAACTGTCATTTTTATATTGTCTGTCCCGTGACCTTTATCTAACTTGCTGTAGGATAAATACTGGACCACAAAGTCGGGTTGAGCTGTAAGGTCATTGGTTTAAACTCAGGGCACCTCTTCGGAAACCCTATACAGGGTCGCTATGAGTCGGAACCTACAGGATGGAATTTAACAATAGCAACAACAGCTTTCAACTAAAGTCATGTGTAGTGATTTTGTAAGAAGAAACGTTACTAAAAGTATGATACAAGGGGCTTAAAAATTGTTAGAAAATGGAATTCATAAAATATATCATTTTTCCACGAACTTTCCGAAGGCACCCTTAATAAACATGATACATGTGAAAGTATAGTTAAAATGAGTGGACTATAATTTTAAATTACCCATTACCCAAAAATATTTGATATCCACTATTTCCTTGCAGTCTTACTATAAATTATGCTTATATGTAACTTACTTCCCAATTGAAATTGCTGAGTGTATTTTATTTTTACTTTTATATCTTCCTGCTTATAAGTTAATAATGTCCATGTTGTCATTTTTATTTTCTCATTAATGCCTTCATTAATATCCTACCATGGACATGGCAGAATTTGGAAATTTACCCTTAGATTAGACTTGGCACATGTGAAAGTTTTCAGCAGGAAAACTGAAGGTCAAAGATTCTTGTGTTTAAAATTTCCATGCATCTTCGTATGTGATATGATTTATATATCGATTTTATGCTATTCTGAATATGAGATTTTCTCAACAATGTAGCAATGTTCAACCATCATTTATTTATTTTATGATTGCATATCATACTGAGTTATTTTTGTATTTTGAAATAATACAAGGAGACTTCACGAAGCTTGTGGGAAAATGGCATGAAAAGGTAATGTAAGTTTCCCATGAACTTTTGAAGCCCACCTATATATACAAGCCCTTACAACAAACAAAGACACTCTGGTAGTGTAGTGGTTACAAATGGGCCTGTGAACCACAAGGTCAGCAATTTGAAACTACCAGATGTTCCATGGAAGAACGATGAGGCTTTCTACTCCGATAAAGATTTACAGCCTCGGAAACCCTGTACAGGGTCGCTATGAGTTGGAACCGACTCCACAGCACATAACAACAAACTAACGCTGTAGAGATGTAAACCATGATCCATAACCCTTTTTCTGATTGCAGGTCCAAGAAGCAAGAGTGGATAGTTTCCTTGCTCACTAGCTCCGTACTCACAAAGAAATATTCAGATATAAAGGCCCTGTATTTTGTATTCTACAAAAATGGGACATTATAAATAATATTATTGAATATTTTCACTTACTATTAGAAAAACACAAAATTGAAATTTGAGGACGCAACGAAGAAACACTTGGAGTTTTTTTAGTTAAGCGTTTGTCAATTGGAGTTCCAGGGTGATTCAAATGCACAGCACTGGTGTGGTTCTGTGGGTTAATGAGCTGGACTGCAAAGCTGCTTTGAACCACAAGGTCAGCGGCTCAAGCTCATCAGCCGCTCCTTAGAAACCTTATACAGGGTCATTATGGGTTGGAATTGACTCAACGGCACTTAACAATAACAACAACTAGATAGCTAAACCAAAGGCTGGAAGTTCAAGTCCAACCAGAGGCACTTTATTTCCAAAAACATCAGTCATTGGAAACCCATTTCTGATATAACACACAAGGATTACCATGAGTTGGGATGAAACAGATGGTAACTGAGTTATTTGCTCATTGACATAAAATGCAAACAATTAACAAGCAGGAGTCCTGATGTGCTGTAGCACAAGCGGTATAGACTGCTAACCTCAAGGTTCGCAGGTCAAACCCACCAGCTGTTCCTCAGAAATCTGATATAGGGTAGCTATGAGTCAGACTTGACAGCACATAACAAAAACAATGTTGACAAGCAGAGTGAAAGTGTAGTTGACACTACAGTCTGTGTTTTATATAACCTTCTTTTAACTCCATCATTCAGGTTTGCCATCATGGATGCCATATCAGAAGCCAGTGACACATTTGCCTTAAGCCTTTTGAAAACCTTGGGTGAAAACAACTCAGAAAACATATTCTTTTCACCCATGAGCATCTACTCCTCCCTGAGCATGGTCTACATGGGTGCAAAGGGGAACACCGCTGCCCAGATGTCCCAGGTACTGAAAGTCATTTCAAGACAACAGGAAAAGCTCTTAATTCTGCAATTTCTAATCTCGAAGACATTGTTCTTAGCATTGTAGCTTCTTACTCTGCTAGTGTCCCAGGGATGTGCAGTGGGAGTTGTCAGTTGTTACTACTAACAGACGACCCTGTGGTCACTCCGGGGAGCTTTTTTGAGGATTCTACTCATCTGTTAGAAGATTGATTTTACAAGCACATTATGATGATACCTGAGTTTCTAAGCACACATGAAGATTTAAGTCAATGTTGAGTCATCTGATATTTGATATTTATGTCCTTAAAAGAAACATTTTCTGCTCTACCCATAGCCACACATATCTAACATATAGTGCTGAGATTGGGAGGGAGAACTCTAGTAGACCCACTCAAAGGGCAGGAGTGTGGGCTTTTGTGTGGAAGGCATAGAATAGTCATTCAACCACAGCGATTCTGAAATACTGCCAAGTACATGTTGTCTTCTGGTTTGAGAACAGGAAATGTTCCTTGATTAGTCAGCACTTGTATGTTTCCATGATCTTTGGTTCCATCTTCTGTGTTCTTAACTTAGTGCTCTGAAATGCCTTTCCTTTCTATAATGAGTGATACACGTTTATTCCTAAACAGTCTCTGGCTTGCTTCCTGCCCATAGAGAGTGGGAGCACTGGGGTGTCTCTCACACAGTTCTGTCTCTTTTAGTCTAAGTCAGGACAGCTCCTTCAAACCCTGGCAGGTTTTCTAGCAACTAACAATCACATCAGTAGACATCTCTTTTAGTCTAAGTGTCAGGACAGCTCCTTCAAATCCTGGCAGGTTTTCTAGCAACTAACAATCACATCAGTAGACAAAAGACACATCCACATGTCTATATGAGACAGGACTCTGTACTTTGAGTAGGGCTTGAGAAGGGATAATCTGCCTTCACCCTTGTAAGGTTTCACAAGGTGAATGAACGTGACTATCATAGTGTTGGTGGAATCTTGTCTCTGAGGTCAGGGTCTTGGATATGATCTTTGTCCTGCAGATATTCTTTAAAGAATCACTTACCAGCTAGAGGGAGAACACAGTGGCTGCATATGATAAGCACTGGGCTAGGAACCACAAGGTCTGCGGTTTGAGCTGCCAGTTGATCCACGGGAGAAAGATGAAGCTTTCTGCTCCCGCAAAGATTTAAAGTCTCAGAAACCCTATAACGCTTTGTGGTTGCTATGAGTTGGAACAACCAGCTGGAGTCTGGAAAAACAAAATATTTTTTGCTTTCTACCCAGCACATCTTTGGTCAGAAACATTGTTCTTAAGTGCCATCAAGTCCGTTCTGACTCAAAGCAACCTTGTACAGAGTTTCCAAGGAGCAGCTGGTGGATTTGAATATCTGGCCTTTCGGTTAGCAGTTCAGTGCTTACCTTATAGCGTCACACCTTCAAATTCTACTTGAAAACTGACAAATGCCTTTTGAAACTCATCTTTCATCTCCTATACTTTATCCTGTTGTTGTTTTAGGTACCATTGAGTTGGTTCAGACTCAGAGAGAGCAACCACGCATACAACAGAATGAAACCCTGCCTCATCCTGTGCCATTTTCACCACAGCACTGATGATGCAATGGTTTAAGTGCTTGGCTGCTTACTGAAAGGTCAGCACTTTGAATGCACCTGCCACTCTATAGGAGAGAAGATCTGGTGATGTGCCTCTGTAAAAATAGCAGTCTGGAAAACCCTATTGGCGACTCTACTTTGTAATAAAGGGGCGCTATGATTCAGAATCAACTCTGCTGCAATGGGTATATGCTTCATCCCTCTGTACTTAAAACAAGTTAGGTGGTATTAGAACATTCTTCTTGGAAATTCTCTTTGCTTAAGCACCGAGTTAATTGGGGGAATTTTCTGTTTCCTTTTAGTACAGTTACTATGCCAATACTTGACGTGTGTTCCTGTTTTTCCAGTTGCATATTATTTTTGTACTATCCTTCCAACCTCTGCCAGCTACTTTGTTCCCAAGAGAATGCCACATGTTTTAGATTTTGGTTATGGCGGAGCTCCACTTCTAAGTACTATTGCTTCCTGTGGTATTTCTTGCTGCAATGCAAACATCACAAAACATTATGTCTTAAAATAACAGATAAAATTTTTTTTTTTTCTAGGTTCTGGGGGTAGATTGGGTAGTTATTCTTCTCCATACTGGATGAGTTGGGGTCACTCATATGGCTGCTTCATCTGAAAATTTGACTGGCAGGTCCAAGGAGGCCCCTCTGAACAGTAGGGCATGGTGCTGGCTGATGACTTGGCACTGGACTCTCCATGTGGTGTCACCCCTTCCAGGGAATTTCCACATTCAATGTTTTCAGGACAACTTGGGCTTCCTTATACCATGGTTCCCTGATCCCAAGAGAATGAGAATGAAAGCTCCCAAAACTTTTAAGGAACAAATCTTAAAATTTTTTCAAAACGATTACTTTTTGTAATTCAAAGCAGAGCTCAGGCCAGCCCAGAATCACGGGAAAAGTGGCAGTTTGACAGCCATGTTTGCTGACAAGGTACAAAACTTCAGTCATTCTGTTAAAGGCGTGAGAAAGGATATTTCTATTGATCCTGATACTTAGGAAATTCTGGTTGCCTGTGGGCTATGATTCTAGTGAGGCCTTCAAAGAATTACAGGTAGGGGAACTGGGTGGATTTGGGCACTTTTGGTCTTTAATGGAATAACCACTGTTCAAATTGTAAAATGAATTTATTGGGTTTGAAATGCTGAGTTTAAGGTGGCACCATGTATTGAAGTTGGACACTGAAGATGCGTGTTGTTATTCGGATTTCACTGCAGGTCCTTTCTTTCAATAAAATTGAAGGTGGAGGTGAAGATGCTCAGATGGGCTTCCACAGGCTTCTCACTGAAGTCAACAAACCCAACACTCAATACTTATTGAGAACTGCCAACAGGCTCTTTGGAGAAAAGACTTATGAATTCCTCTCAGTAAGTCCTACTTACTACTTTTCCCTAAGGATGTGAAGACAAGGTGGGAGTTGGAAGGGATCCTGTGGGATAGAACCAAGAGGAAAGTGTGGGTTGTGACTTCATTAGTTCAGGTTTCCATTCTTGGACCACATTCAACTTCACTTGTTTCATTTTTGTTGTCTGTAAAATGCCCCTTAAAACAAATAATGTTCTGGTTTTTGTGAAGCTTAAATGAACTTAAATGTTTACAAAAGAAATAACATGGAGCCTAGTACAATTTGAGATGAATTGATTAAAACAAAGAAGGGGGCGTAGTCAATATTTCTTATCATTGTTTTGTAACTTTAATTGCATTATGTGAAATTTGCTTAATGTTTTACATATATAAATGTTTTGATTGTTTTCTCTGGCTCAGATTTTTATCTTAGTTTAGTTTATTTTGGCTACTTACATTGGTGCTATTTGCCCACATGTCTGTTTGTTGTAATTCGTGACTTGCATGTTGCTGTGATGCTGGAAATAATGCCGCTGGTCTTTCAAGTATTAGTAGGGTCATCCATAGTGGAGACGTTTCATCCATGTAGAGCTTCGAGACTAAGAACAGACTAGGAATAGGCAATTCACTTTATGGTTAGTCACTGGAAACCTTACGATGAGCAGTGACATGCTGCCTGATAGACTGTCAGAAGATCACTCCCTGAAGTTGGAAGGCACTCAACATGTGACTGGGGACGCGCAGTCTCCACAAAGTACAGTTGCTGTTAATGAGGTAGATAAAGTAAACCTATCAGTTCTTTCATTTCCTGATGTGGCATGGCTCAAAATGAGAAGGAGCAGTTGCAAATATCCATTAACAGTTGGAAGGCGGAATGTATAAAGTGTGATTCTGGGAAAATTTCAAGCATCAAACATGAAATGGAACACATAAAGATCAATAGCTACTAGGCACTTATGAGATGAAATATGAGGTATTGGCTATTTTGAATCAGATAATCTTATGGTTCAGTATACTAGGAAGGAAACATTTACGAGAAATGGTGTTGTATTCATCATAAAAAGAACATTTCAAGACCTGCCTTAAAGCACAATGCTGTCTGTGAAGGAGGACATCTTCACACCCACAAGGAAGACCAAGTCATACCACTGTTGTTCAAATTTACACACCAACGAGAGCAAAGCCAGTGAGGAAAAAATTGAAGAATTCTACCAACTTCCTCAGTGTGAAACTGATCAATCATGCACTTCATAAGCTTTGATAAAGCTAGTGGTTGTAATATAAAAGCTGGGAACAAAGAGGAGGCATGGGTAGTTGGAAAACAAGGCGTTGGCAATAAAAATGATCCTGGAGATCACAGGGTAGAATTTTGTAAGACCAGCAAGTTATTCACTGAAAATTACTTTTTTTTTCTTTTTCTAAAACATAAATGGTAACTATACAAATGGACAAGGAGCTCTGGTAGTGTAGTGGTTACGAATTGGGCTGTTAATCTCACGGTCAGCAGTTAGAAATTACCAGCAGTTCTGCTGGAGAAAGATGAGATTTTCTCCTCCGGTAAAGAGTTATAACTTCGGAAACCCTGTACAGGGTAGCTATGAGTCAGAACTGATTCCACAGCACATAACAATACAAATGGACTTCCCAAGATGGAATACACAAGAATCAAATTGACATCTGTGTGAAGAGACCGTGGAAAAGCTCCATCAGCCAAAAGACCAGAGGCTGACTGTGGAAAAGCTCATCGATTGCTCATATGCAACTTCAGGCTGAAGATGAAGAAAATGAAAACAAATCCACATGAGCCAAAATATGACCTGGAGGATATACCACCTGAATGTAGAGACCATTTCAAGAACAGATCTGATGTACTGAACACTAATGTCTGAAGACAAAAGAAATTTGGGGACGACAATAAGAACGTCATAAGTGAAGAGAGAAAAAGGTCATTAAAAAGATAGGGAATAAAGAAAAGATCAAAATGGATGTCAGAAGAGACTCTGAAACTTATTCTTGAACATAAAGTAGCTAAAGCAAATGGAAGAAATGATGACGTTAAAGAGCTGAACAGAAAATATCAAAGGCTGTTTGCAAAGGCAAAGTCAAATTTTATAATGAAATGTGCAAAGGCCTACAGTTAAAAAACCAAAAGGGAAGAACACACTCAGCATTTCTCAAGCTAAAAGACGTGAAGAAAAAAAATTCAAGTTTCACCTAGTATTATTGAAGGATTCTTTGGACAAAGTATTATATGATACAGGAATCATCAAAATAAAAATAAATAAATAAAAAGATGGAGTACATAATGCCATGGTACCAGAAAGAATTGACCAACTGTCAACTATTTCAGGAGCTAGACTATGAAGAAAAACTGCTGGTGCTAAAGAAAAAAATCCCAAGCTGCACTAAAGGCATTGGCAAAAAAACAAGGCTCCGGGAAGTGATGAAATGCCAAGCAAAAGGTTTCAATAAACTGATGCAGCGCTGGAAGTGCTCATTAGTGTATGCCAAGAAATGCCTGGAAGAAATCCATATTGGTACACCTTCCAAAGAAAAGTGACCGTTACTGAACAAGATAATTGATATCACACACAAGTGAAATTTTGAAGATAAACCAAAATGATGGCAGCAGTTATACACCAACAGAAATTCAAACCACAGTCAAAAGAGCTTGTGAAGGAGGCACACCATTGTGATATCAGAGGGAGTTTGGCTGCAAGAAGAAAATACCTGAAGGGTGTTCACTTTTGTTGTCTTAATTCTGCCATGGCATTCGACTGTGTAGATCATGACAATTTTTATAACATTTTGAAGAATGGAAATTCCAGAACACTGAACTGTGCTCATGAGGAACCTGTACATAGACCAAGAGGCAGTCACTGGAAAAGAACAATAGGATACTGAGTAGTTTAAATCAGGAAAGGTGCACCTTAGGGTAGTATCCTTTCACCACACTTATTCAACCTCTATGCTGAGCAGATAATCCAAGAAACTGGATTATATGAAGAAGAATGTGGTGTCAGGATTGGAGGAAGACTCATTAACTACCTGTGATATGCAGATGCTACACTACAACCTTGCTTGCTGAAAGTAAAGAGGACTAAAAACACTTACTGACGAAGATCAAAGAGTACAGTCAAGGATTATAGTTCAATGTATAGAAATAAAAAAATCCTCACAGCTGGACCAATAAACATCATGATAAGTAGAGAAAAGATTGAAATTATCCAGGTTTTCATTTTACTTGGATTCATAATCAACACCCTAGAAGTTGTTGCTGTTGTTATTGATAAGTGTCATTGAGTTGGTTTTGACTCATAGAGACCCTGTATAGGGTTCTCAAGGAGCGACTGGTGAGCTTGAACCACTGACCTTGTGGATCAAATAACTTTGCACTCCAGTGCATTAACCCACAGAGCCACACAAAGATGTGGTTAAGAAATCAAATAACCTATTGCATTGGGAAAACCTGCTACAAAAAGCTTCTTTAAAGTGTTAAAGAACAAAAAGGGATATTCTTTTTGAGGACTAAGGTGTCTCTGACCCAAGTCATGGTATTTTCAGTTGATTCATATGCATGAGAAAACTGGGCAATGAATAAAGAAGACTGGAAAAGAATTGATATTTTTAAATTATAGTCTTGGTGTAGAATATTGAAAGTACTGTGACTGCCAGAAGAACAAACTAACTTATCTTGGAAGAAGCACAAACATTTATCACCACTCTTATTCAATATTGTGTTAGAAATCTTAACCAGTGCTACAAGGCAAGAAAGAGAAATTAAAGGCATCCAAATTGGCAAAGAAGGAAAACACTCTCTATTTGTAGATGATATGATCCTATACAAAGAGCAATCCAAAAACTCAGCAAGAAAGTTATTGGAACTCATTAAAAGATTCAGCAAATTGGTCCAAATACCTTTTTCTTACTGATGTATAAAGAATTCATATGTGTGGTATATCAGTTCTATTCTGTTATAATTATGATTTTTATTGTTTCAGACTCGAAATCAATTGTTTCAAAACTAATTTATATAAAGTGAATATAGTCAAAAATAAGGTGAAATATTTGGTAAGATTTGCATATTATGGTGCCGTTTTTATTTATTTCTCTGTGTTTTTTTTGCTATCTTACAAGTTATCTTTATATAAGCATTCTATACATATTAAATAAATTAACTTTCTGGAAAAAGATTGACTGTATTTCTTTCTCACTGCATTTTTCTTCATCTTTGGTGGCTAATTTAAGAATAGAAGTGATATTTAAAATGTAATTTTGATACTGGAGTAAAAGATGAAGAGGTAACAGATGTTGGTGAATTATTTTTCATTAATTGAGTGTTCTAAGAATCTGAATAGTGTGCTAACTTTAGTTTGTTTAGTGGTAACTTTAAAAAATGTAACTTTAGTGGTGGTGATGGTGTGCCGTGGAGTCAGTTCCAACTCATAGTGACCCTGTAAAGGTTTCCGAGGCTGCACATCTTTATGGGAGCTGATAGCCTCATCCTTCTCTCACAGAACAGCTGGTAGTTTTGAACTGCTGACCTTGAGGTTAGCAGCCCAATTCATAACCACTACACTACCAAACTGTGTGGCGCTGTGGGTTAATGCACCAGACTGCAAAGCCATTTGAACTTCAAGGTCGGCGTTTCAAGCTCACCAACTGCTCCTTGGAAACCCTATACAGGGTCGCTATGGGTCGGAATCAACTTGACGGCACTTCACAACAATACAACACTACCAGAGGCTTTCTGCTCCCGTAAAGATTTACAGCTTCGGAAAACCCTGTACAGGGTTTCTATGAGTCAGAACCAACTCCACAGCACATAACCACCACCACCAAGCAACCAGGGCTCCTTGTAACTGTAGGTGGTGGTGATGGTGGTTATGTGCCATGGAGTCGGTTCCGACTCATAGCGACCCTGTTCAGGGTTTCCAAGGCTGTAAATCTTTTTGGGAGCAGAAAGCCTCATCTTTCTCCCGAGGAACAGCTGGTAGTTTCGAACTGCTGACCTTAAGGTTCTCAGCCTGATTTGTAACCACTACCTACCAGACAGAGCTCCTTGTAACTTTAGTAGCACACCATTATTTTCAAATGTGCTTAAAAGTTGTAAAATGTCACCTAAGGGTGCAACAAGCTATTAAAATATGAGTGCTCTCTGCTTCCAGATGGTTTCCTTAGATGGAGAGATTAAATTTTTTCAAAACCAATGACCAAGAACCAAGGTCAGGAAAGGTCACAGAGTGTGAATTATATAAAGATAGAATAAAACAATGCAATAGGCCACCAAGAAAAGTGCCCGGTACCCAAGGAGGCTCCAAGGATGCCACATCAAATGGACCCTGCAGTGACCCTATGAGTGTGGCTACTGCTGCGTCCTCCTGTCAGAGGAGAGAATGAGGAGGCTGAGAGAGACTGGGCACTTTTCCAAGGTCACCGTGCAGAAGTAAGCTGTTGGTTAATAGTGTTTGTAGCTGTGCACTGAGGCTGCTCTATGTCTCCTAGTCTTTTAAAGATTCCTGCCGCACCTTCTACCAAGCAGAGCTGGAAGAGCTTGACTTTGTGGATGCTGCAGAAGATTCCAGAAAGCACATCAACACCTGGGTAACCCAGAAGACAGAAGGTGAAAATAGATTTTCATTTTACTTCAGTAATATCAAAATCAGTGTTATCGTAAGTTCCTTCACAAATTGTCAAGCATAAAGAGGAATAATTATTTTCTCCAAATAGTTGTGCAAACTTTAAATTTGCTTCTGACACACTGTCAACATATGAAGTTTTTCTCAAGCTTTCCCAGGTTTCCACTGTGTGTCTGTGACGTCTCTCAATATTCGTAGACCTCTTCTAGAACATTTCACACCTTATATTCTTGTTTGTAGATAATCTTTCTTTCTCACAACTAGAATGAAGAAAAATTCTCATGGTAAGGATTCAGGTTGTCCAATACCTGTGCTCCCCAGCATGTCCACGTGGTCCCGTAGGAAGCTTGCCAAGTCCCACCTACCTTCTGTTCTGGATGTAAACCATTCTTCACATGTGTGTGTGTGTTGTGTCCTTTCCCCCTTTTTATCATCCTTAAGATTCCTTTATTCAAGTCATAGACACCATTTATCTCTATCTCTTGTGCTATCAATCCATCCTGCTCATATTATTAACGTTCTGTGCATGTGATGTGGTTCATTCAGGTGTGGTGTTTTTGTTTATTTATTTGTTTTTGCTAGAGCATGAAACTCTACTTCAAATTGTTGTTGTTTTAAGAATAAACAGCCCTTTGCGTGGTTTTCTTTGAGGGAATAGCGAAATCCCTTCCTCTGTGTTGCTGTAACAAAGTCCCACAAACTGAATGACTTAAAATGACAAAAATGCGTTCACACAATTACGGAGTCTCGAAATCTGAAAGGTATCATCATGGCAATTCTGCTTCTGAAGGCTTTAGGAGAGAATTCTTCCTTGTGTGTTCCAGCTTGGAGAAGCCCCAGGCATTGACTTGTGCAGGCAAAAATCCCCTCTCTGCCTTCATCTTTCCACGATTCTCCCCGGCTACGACTGTTTGTCTGTCTCTTCTCTTTTTATAAAGGACATTTTGTTTGAGGCTTCATTATAGTCCGTCCAGTGTGAACTCATGTTAACCATTTACCTCTGCAAAGACCCTATTTACAAGTCAGATTACAGTCATAGACACTATCTCCAATGGTGTTTAGAATGTGAACATATCTTTGTGGAAGATGTAATTCAAACCATTGTAACCCCCAGAGGAAGCTGAATATTGTTTCTGATCTTCAAAAAGCTACTTTAGCTAAGTGTCCTTTAATTGTTCTCTGCAGGTAAAATTACAGAGTTGCTTTCACCCAATTCTGTTAATTTCCTGACTAAGCTGATTCTCGCCAATGCTGTGTACTTCAAAGGAGATTGGGACAAGCAGTTTAAGAAAGAGCACACCCAGGAAAGACCCTTTAAAATCAACAAGGTGAATATTTTTCCATAACAGATGAGATTTTTGTAAACCGTTTTTGTGTTCATATTGGTTTTGAAACATGCAAGGCTAACAGCCTCAAGGTGTTTACTTTCTACGGCCCTTGGGCAGCCCAACAGTATGGCACAAAGCCTTGCTCCTTTTTCGCATCTTTCTCCTACACTTTGTACCAGCTCAAATGGAGCTGCCTCATCGGAGCCTGTTCTGATTCCCTGAAGTCATCGTCTACCCTGTTTCCCAGGTGTTGTATCTGGCCCTGTAGCTGTCAACCTGCAGGCCTTCCTGACCTCCCACTCCTGAGATAATGTGCAGATCTACAATGTGGTGCTTAGCTTTTTTGTAATCTCATCTGCTACATTTCTCTATCTTGACTTCCATCAGTTTCAACAAGCTCTTTTCCTCCCCGCAGTGTCCCCTGCAGTCTTCTCTGACATCCTCCTCCCATGGAGGTATTCATGCCCTATCCTAATGCCTCATGCCTGCCTCCATAAGAGCAGGGCAGTAGGTGAAAGGCAAGTCTATGCTTCCTCTTCATGGAGCCACATTTCAAGGCTGAGATTGCTGTCTCCGAAGTGCCTAACCTGTTTTTGTTGTTACGTGCCATTGAGTCAGTTCTGACTCACAGCGACCATGTATAGGGTTTCCAAGGAGGAGTTGGTAGGTTTGAACTACCGACCTTGTGATTTGCAGTCTGGTGCTGATCTTACAACACCTGACCTGTAGTTGTTGTTTAATGAATAAGTAACAAGCAAATGACATAAAGTTCTCTTTATACTAGAGAAGACATACATACAAATTCTTGTTTTAAAACTTGTGAACAAGGTGAGCTTTTCATGGGATGATGGAAAAATGGTGAAATTTGGCCAACATGATGAATACACTTATGTTTAATATCACTAAAAATGTGCATGTGAATATTATTTAAATGACAAATGTTTTGTCATCTATATATTTGCCACAGTTTGTTTTAAATAAAAATGTGGACTCAAGGACATGTCTGTTGGGTGGGCATTAACTGCAGCTCCTTCCAGCTTAGAAGATATTATTTGCTGATGGCCTTTTATCTTCCTCACAGGATTTATATTATTCTTTTCTTTCCTATCTTCTTCTGGGAAATGATTGGAATTTTCTAGAAGATTCTTATCAAGACACACATTAGGGCTTCGTTTAGCCCAAGACACAGGAAGTACAGTCATGGTCATGAGAACTCAGAGGAGTATCTCTTTCTTACTTTGAGGTGGGCAGAGAGCAGACTGATGTGAATCTTGTGTGATTCCCTCAGGGAACTAAGTTTTTTTCCCTCCTGCTCAGACATCCTTAGCACATGACTGTCTTCTTCCTGACTACAAAATGCTTGAAACTTCATATCTACTATCCAGGCTGGAGGTAATGGACGTATAAAGACAAAGAACAAAAGTCTGCTCCTTTTGAGGGCCTTTCCTCTTATTCAGAAAGGGAAATTTTCCTGCTATGTTTCATTGGTACAGTTTTGTGTTGCTTCCTCCAGTTTCAGGATGGTGAGGGATTCCAGCTTGCTTTCCAGTCGTTACAGTAGAGAAAGACAAGATAGAAAAGCATTTGAAGTAACTGTTGAAAGTGCCAGTCTTGGGGGCTGTATATAGCTCAAAAGATACAGATTTAGAGTTGATATTAGTTTTCATTTTAATTCCTTTATTGGTAAATAAAACTTATCTGAACAAATGAGTTTTGAATCAGTCTTTCAGTTAATACAAATAATTTATTGGAACAGAGATATACTCAATTGTTGTCTTTCGTTTCTTTCCTGCTCCACAGCAGAGTTGACTAGTTGTGACAAAACCCATATGGCACCAAGACTTGAGAAAGGTGACAGATACAGAACAGAGTGGTAAGGGAGCTTAAGAGATCAATGATACTATGGAGGGTTCTCATCTCTGTGCAATGAGATGTTCTGTAGGCAGTGGAGTGTGTGAGTCTGGAATACGGGGGGGATCTTGGGAATTACATTACGTTCAGAAGACTGGTTGAGACCCCATTGAAAATAAACTCAAGGATTTAACCCTGGGGTCCCCAGTGTTTGGAGGTGGAGCTAATGAAGACATGATGACAAAGGTGGTGTCTGGGAGCCAAGAAAGAAAGTTCTGGAGTTAGACAGTGGCAACTCTTTTGAAGTGAACCAAGTCTTGTGTGTCAACTGACATGTTTCAACTTCATATATCTCCATTTTCTTTGTAGAATGAGGAGAAACCTGTGCAGATGATGTTCCAGGAATCTGTGTTTAAACTGACTTACATACAAGAAATACACACCCAGATTCTGGTGCTTCCCTATGTTGGAAAGGAGCTAAGTATGATCATCATGCTTCCGGATAAAAACACAGATTTAAAAACGGTAATGAATGTTTAGGAAGCCCTGCTGGTCCGGTGGTTCAGCCCTCAGCTAGTTGTTGAAACCCTTCACTGCTCTGTGGAAGCAAATGTGGCATTCCTAATCTATAGAGAATACAGCCTTGTCAAGTGTGCTGGGCAGTAGTTCTATGCTAGGCTATGCAGTTGCTGTGAGTCTGAATCAAATAGACGGCAACTAGAATGTAATGGGCATTAAGCAGTTGACCACTGACGTTAGTGTTGGCCTATGGTGGTAAGATGATGTTTAGTACTAGCACAATTTCCAATTCCCTCTTAACTTTGTGGAATCAGAGATAAGTTGGGGGAGGGTGGGAGACTCTTCAGAAGTATGAGAAGTCGGTCATGGTGACTAAGGAGGCGTGGAGAGATCTCCTGAGAGGAGGAGATTAAAAAACGAACAAAAACCAGTCTTCTTCCAACTGCTATTAACATCTTTTGTTGTTGTTATGTGACACTGAGTCCGTTCTGACCCATAGAGAACCCATATAGGGTTTCCAAGCAGTGGCTGGTGAGCTTGAACCATCAACCTTGCAGTTCAAACTAACTTTCCAGTCAGTGCATTAACCCACAGCACCACATCAGGACTAAGTACATCCAATTCCCTTATCCATGGTACTCCAGTTACTCTAGTCTAAGTATCACCACTGTCTTCAATATATGTCACAAATTTATAGATGTCGCATCAACTGAGTGTTACTGTTTGTATATAAGGATGAAATCTTTGTCAAAGCAGTGCAGTATTGCGGGGAAGATCCTGAATGAATGGCCTCTTCATAGAAAGTGGAGATGGCTTTCTTTGGCTGATCACCAAACAGAGGTGAAGTTCAGCCAAGGACTGAATCCTGACAGAAACTAAGGTCATTTCCTAGTGACCAATGACCAACTCCTCTCAGATTAGGGCAGAGACAAACTCTGCACAGAGTGTCCCAGGTGGTGGAGATTTACTGATGGGGGAGGGCTCCCTGATGGAGTCTTTCTGTTTAAATTATCACTTAATCTCTAGTTGTCTTGCTCTGGCTCCCACTGACCCCATCATTCTTATACCACATGTTTAAGATTCCCCTTTCTCAATGCCCAAGGACACTTAGAACCTCTCCCCTGTTTCTCTTTTCTGAAACATGGGAGAAGACAAGAAGTTACTATATAAAGTAAAAATAGCCCCCAAGTTAAGTTTCCAATGATAATTTCCCCATCCTAAGAATTCCATTTTATGCCAAGCACGGAGCTTTAGAACCTCCTTGCCTTTGCCCATTATCCTAAGACATTCCACCCTCAAACCATCTTCATGGGCTTGCATAGACTAGCAAGACACTCAACCACATAATTTGGAACCTTCAATTTGTTTTTTAAATCAGCTTTGGTCTGAAACCCTTCTTCACTGACTGAGGACAAATTGTAACTCCTGAAATCAAAACATTCTCAGGCTCAGGCTTCAGGCTTCAGGCTTCCCTTCTTCTCTCCTTCAGGTCTGAGGCATGCAGCTTAGAAGGTCCCTTACCATGGAAGTGCTACAGGACTGCTTTCTTGTTTGTCTCTCCTGTCTCCTTTCCTCCCCACCCACCACTGACTTGCACACAAGAGTCCTTGAACTCTCTCCATGATAATTTTATCATCTTAGTTATCAGATAATAATTCATTTTATTAAATATGAATAAATATTTAAGTATTTATAAATTTTATTTTTAGAAAATATTTGGATGTATATATTCAAATATCTACCAAGTACTAGTCAGGTACTAGACTGTGCAAGGGAGGGCAAAAAACTGTTGGCAGCATCCATTCATAAATATTTTCCCATTCATTATATTGTTGTAGGATTACCATACTATCTAAGTGGACTACAGCTCTATGATATATAAATCAATGGGGTAGTGTTGTAAGCAGACATAAACCCATCAATGAAATAATAATGATCATAGGTCATGGGGACAGCAGTTCCTTCACTTATGTACTCTTAAGATCTACCTTAATTATGAATTTCTGCCTTGGGGACCAGCTTTAATTGTATTGTTCTTGTTATTAAAGCCGTTGAGTTGGTTCTGACCCATAGCAACCCTGTATAGGGTTTCTGAGGAGCTGCTGGTAAGCTGGAACTGCTGACTTTGCATTTCAAACAGCTTTGCCATCTGGCACATTAACCCACAGTGCCACAAAGGTTCCTGAATTCAGGATTCGAGGGTAGAAATGCAGCACCGCCTGGTAACCAAAGGTTGCTCATTATTCTGCTCTCTGATGCCCAACATGGTAGACTCTAGCTGCCTGGAATGATCTAAGTTTTAAAATCATTTTCTTGTGCTATAATTCATATGAGTCCTGGTGTGACACTGTGGGTTAATGCACCAGATTGTAAAGCCGTTTGAACTGCAAGGTCGGCGGCTCAAGCTCACCAATGGCTCAAGCTCCTTGGAAACCCTACACAGGGTCGCTGTGGGTTGGAATGGACTTGACGACACTTAACAAAAACATAATTCATATGCCATATAATTCACTCATTTACATGTGAAATTCAAAGGTTTTCAGTAGATTCACAATTTGTGCAACCATCAGCCCCATGAATTTTAGAGCATTTTATCATTTCAAAATGAAATCCTGTGTTCTCTACCTCTCAACACCCAACTTTCCCGCTGTCTTTCTCCTCCCAGTCTCTGTACCAATAGTGTACTTTTGTGTCTATGGATTTTCCTATTCTGGACTTTGATGAGTGAAATCTTGCAGCATGAGGCCTTTGGGACTGGCTGTTTTCACTAAGCATAATGTATTCAAGGGTTGTCAATGTTGTAACATCCAGCACCGCATCATTCCTTTTTATGGATTTTCTGTTGTTGTTATTAAGTGCTGTTGAATTGGTTCTGATCTGAGTCATAGCGACTCGATATTGGGTTTTGCAGGAATGGCTGGTGAATTTGAACCATCGAGCTTTCATTTTATGGATCTACACATACAAAGAGGCTAACTCCATTATATAGATTGGATATACCACATTTTGTTTATGTTGTTGTTGTTAGTGCCTTCAAGTCAGTTCCAACTCATAGCAAGCCTCTATAGAGGTTCTGAGAAGTGGCTGGTGGGTTTGAACTACAAATCTTGTAGTTTAAACCCACCTGGAGGTCCAGTGTGTATCCTACAGCGCCACCCCAGGACTCCATTTTGTTTATACAATTGTCTAATATGTAGATTTATTGATTTAAATGAAAGCAACAATTAAAATCTTCACTCACACCCACATTTCCAGAGCTCAGTAGCCACATTTGGCTGGTGGCTCCATATTCTACAGTGCTCATATAGAACATTCATGTCATAGCAGAATGTTCTATTGGTTAGTCCCATTTTCTAACTTAAAATCTCCAACTCTCGTTTTCTAGGTTGAAAAAGAATTTGCTTATGAAAAATTCGTAGAATGGACAAGTCCTGACAAGATGAAGGAAACCAAAGTGAAAGTTTTGCTTCCTAAATTTAAAATGGAGGAAAGTTATGACCTGAAGAAGGTCCTTCCCACATTGGGCATGATTGATGCCTTTGACAAAATCAGGGCCGACTTCTCTGGAATGTCGCCCAAGAAAGAATTGTTCATATCCAATGTTGCACACAAGGCTTTTCTAGAGGTCAACGAGGAAGGCACCGAAGCCGCGGCTGCCACTGCTGCCGTGATGTCAGTCCGCTGTGCGAGGCTCACTCCCCTGTTCTGCGCTGATCACCCCTTCCTTTTCTTCATCCAGCACACCAAGACCAACTGCATTCTGTTCTGTGGTAGGTTCTCCTCGCCCTAGAGCCTGGTCCTCACTGGATAGAAAGCTACCTTCTCTTTTCTCCAGCTGACCTACTTTTCTTCGTCCACATGCTATTGTGCCTATAACCCAAAGAGATCTTGTAGTGTAGGAGACACATCCAGAAATAAAGGGCTCAGTCCCGAACTCCTGTGGCTGCGTGTTTGCTTATTAATGTTTTTCTGGGATCTGCCATTGATGCTGAGGTCTTGTGGTCACTTTGGCAGTGGGAGCATGGGCCGAGGAAAGCCCCTCTGCTTGAAGTCATGTGTCACCCCCCCCCAACCTTTCCCAGGTATGGGAACTTCAGCTGTCACAGGTCTGTTCTGTGTCTTCTCTCTGTGCACAGCATCCCTCCCTGTGCTTCACTAGGTGCAAATACAGATCTGGCTACTCTCTCCTCTCTACTCAGTGGCATTGCAATTGTCCCATTGCTAATGAGGGACTAGAATGGAGAACTAGGAGGAGGGATGCCCACCAGTTCTCAGAGACCCTCAGCTGGAAGCTCAGCTTCACATCTTCTCAGACCAGACATGTCTCTTACCTTTCACAGGGAGACCCGTTTCTCTGGCTCTATTCTCCCATCTGCAAGCTTGGGAATTCCCAGTTGGTGTGGTGCTATGGGTTAATGCGCTAGACTGCAAAGTCAGTTTGAACTGCAAGGTGGTCCAAGTTCACCAGCTGCAACATTGGAACCCTATGCAGGGTTGCTATGGAAAGGAACTGACTTGATGGCACTTAACAACAACAACAACAACAACAAAGCTAGACATTGCATCCCTGAGTGAGGGTCCTTGTGACTACAGCTAAGGCTGAGATCAGCTGGCTCCTCTAAACCTCCCAGGTGTAGTCTCCTTCAGGAGTCCAAGATAGAGGTCTGAGAGCCCCTAGGTTCCTCCCACGCCAGAGTAAGAGGAAGCCCCTGGATCTGCCTCTGCAACTTTTCTCAGGGGAAGGCTTATGGGTTCCAGATCACAAATTGGAGTCCAGAGGTGTGGGTGGCTTGGGGTCCGATGACTTGGTGGGAGACACCCCTCGGCACAAGTATGGCCTGGAGGTTTAAAGGATCCTGACCCTCAGTATTTAGGGGATGGGGCTAGAGAGGGTTGGGGCTGGAGGACACTTCTGGGTTACAGGTTAGCTGTAAATGGACTCTATGGGATAGGCTGCTGGATGAGGTACGCTGGGCAGGCCTTCTGCGCCCCAGGACATGCCCTGGGATGTCTGCTCACTGGGTGGTCAATGAAACACTTTAGTCGTCTGTTGTTAAGTGCTGTTGAGTTGGTTCCAACTCATAGTGGCCCTGTATAGGGTTTCTGAGGAGTGGCTGGTGAGTTTGAACTGCCGACCTTGCGGTGGAAACTAGCCTTGAGGTCGAGTGCTTATCCAAAGGCACCACACCAGGACTCCAACTTGTTAAATGCTATCTTTCAGTAGGTTCAGGCTCATAGTGATCCTATATAGAGTTTCTGAGGAGGGCTGGTGAGTTTGAATCGTCAATCTTGAGGTTAGCAGTTCACTGCTTACCTGTGTAGTTGTGGTAGAGAAAAACCCTGTTTTGAGAATGAGCTCATGTGGACTGTTTCTCCATTACCTCTCTCTGTAATGTGGAGAAAATCACACAAACGAGCTGACTGCTACTTCACTGTTCCTAACTGTGAATCATGAGCAGGAGAATCAACTGTAAGCTGCTTTCACGGTATTTCTCTGTTCTTCTGGATTAATTAGCAGGCTAATGTGTTTTGCTTCATCCCTTCTCAAAGCCAGGGAAAGCCTTGCTGAGGTCTGTCACCAAGTGTGAATATGGTGGAAATCAGTGAAGACTAAGGAAGATTCCTCACAGTTTTTTCTGAGACTCATCAAAGGGAGGTTTCTCCACTAACATGCAGCGCAGGGCTCGAACACACCTCAGCCACTAGGATTCTGCCTGAACTCCACTCCCCTCGGGAACAAGTGGGAGTCTGAGCTAGAATCGTGGAGCCCAGACAGAGAGGCGGGAGATCTGTGTCATTCTGAGGTGCCAATCAGAAAAAACTATATCATGGGTCGAGTCTGGAGTTGAGAACCAAGAGACACTCTGAGTTTTGATTGTAGAAATGCGTGTGTGTGGGGGGGGAGGGGGGAGATGGGGTATGAGGTAACAAGACTGAAGGTCAAGCTAACAATGGTTTTTGACATTGAATTCTTGACTTGGAACCTTTCTCTCAGTCCCTGTGGTCTCATGGGTGAGAAGAAAGCCTTGGAGGATGAGCCTGAAATGAGGTCCTAGTTACCTTGAGCTGGGTTCATTCTGAGAGTTTAGATTTTATAAGTCCTTACTCAACACAGAAGTGCACAAAATCCTCCCAGGTAGGGACTTGTGAAGGGATTCATCCCTAGGCCAACAGACCATTTCAGCATTTGAAGGCATTATCCTCATTATTCGACATCTGAAGACAATGAGCAGCTAGTATCATTCATGACTGGATTCATCTCTGATTCTTCCCATTCCCTGGTGCCCCAACTGCCCATAAAGTCATACTCATTCTGCATCCTGTAAGGATCTCATTGGACAATAAGAAGGAAACCTTGGAGAACTAGAAACACTCCATATCAACTTGAAGAAGGACATCAATGATCAAAAAATTCAGACGAGAATCCTGCTGTAAGAGTTGGGTAGAGCCCCAAGAAAGCAATAGGTTTTCACTAGGACTCAGAATGGAGTCCAGAGTATAGCGTCTCAGACAGTCACCACAAGGAGCATTGATTATGAATCAGATCACTCCTGCCCATGAGCTCCGCACACTCTCCCCTCACAGGGAATAGCAAAGCTTTGCAATACTTACTTGGACTACTCTGTGAGTGTTGTTATTAAGTGTCATGGAGTCAATTCCAACTCATAGAGACCCTGTATAGGGTTTCCGAGGAGTGCTTGGTGAGCTTGAACGTCCCAAAATAAGTGACAGGCAATACTTTGAAAGATGCAGGATGTAGTGGGCAAATCGTTGAGCTGTTAAAAAGGCAAGGTTGGTAGTTCAAACCTACCAGCAGCTCCTTGGAAGAAAGAGAAGGCTTGGCAACTGAGCTGGAATTGACTCAGTGACATTGGGTTTGTTTGGTTTTGGATTTGCATAGAATAATGAAAACTCTACTTTTAGTTTGTACTTCAACTATTTGTTTTGCTGTGTTGATTTTGGAAAGTGCTATGAAATGTCTTAAGTGTGGGTAAGATTTCAAATAGCTATTAAAGAACTGGGACAGCTCCGTACAACCACCCTTCAGAATACAAGTCCGTACAACCTGTGTCAGGCTGCCTGGTCTGTTCTGACTTGCGGTGGCTCTCACCAGTCTGTGAGGTAGATTCTGCAATGTCCAGGCCTGCTCTGGCAGTGGTCTGAGCGGACCCAGGTGAGATTTGACATGATAATGCGCATTGGGAGATCCTGTTACTGCTGGAAGGCTGACATGGTCAATGCCAATAACCACGCTGATCTTGGCCCTGAGGCTGACCTTGGCCCTGAGGCTGGGCTTCTCAGAGAAGTTCTATGTCATGGGCTTAGTCTTCAGAGGCTCCCTCTGACGTGGCCTGCCTTCCATCCACCCACACAGATGGACCAGACACTTGGCACTGTCCCTGAGCTGAGGACCACAATGAATCTTGGTCACTTTCTTGGAAATTCTAGTGGAACCAAAATGAGCAATTAAGATTCATGAAGGCTGCTGACCAGGGCTGGAAGGACATCCACATTGCTGGCAATATAGCAAATGAGCCTCCTTACAGAGTAGGAGGGGTCACAGGGCCACTCTCCAGACAGCTGGGCCCCCCAGTGTGTCCTTCTCACAGGGCACCCTCCCCATAGACACTGTGCCCAGGCCTGTGTTCCATAGCAGGGACACCAGGGACAGTGGAGAGTTTCTGACAAAAGTCCTGTGGACAGGTTACTAAGAGATGCAGATTCTTGGAGAGACCAACTGAGTGATTGGGGCAGAGCAAGACAGGGGGATGTGCTGAGCAGGAAGCCCCCCGTGAGATGAGTGGAGCATCCAGGAGGAGGAAACTGTGTGTGGAGGAAGCACATCCACTCTGTCCACACACCTTGGCCTCTTGATGCCTCTACCATCACCACCACATCCTGCAGCCTGTATGAACCCCAGAGCTAGCCTTGGTCTGGGCAACAAGACCTCAGAGTTGGCCCCTGCTAGTTCTCTCTCTAGCTCAGCTAAAATCATCATGTGAGCCTCCCGGGGACTGTCCTCAGCCTACACCCTATTCTTCGGCTCATCTTCTCACTGGGCTCCCATCGTCAGACACATGGTACCATTTCCTGTGCCCGCCATGCTCTAAGAGGAATCATCTGAATCAGCACGCCCACACAGTCTCACATTCTGTTCCTTCTACAGGGGAAGGGGGGCATTCCTGAGCTCTCTGGTCCCATCGGAACCAGCAGGCAACACCATACACACCCCTCCTTTTAACCTCATCTCCAGACAGCCTTGTCTTTCAGCCCCTGCATGAGTGGGTGTAGGATCTGTTCAGATTTCTTTCCACCCAGCCTCACCCTCCACCCCTTCACCATCATCTCTGCAGACCTCCACAGCCACATGTCCTGTCATTGACTAACTGGAAGGACTCCTGTCCCACTGGACCAGCTGGAAGGAGCCCACCGTGGCTGCTCTGCTCTGCCTTACTCTCCCTCTTCCTGTGAGAGTTTTCATTTTTATTATTTCAGGAGCTTCATTGCTTTCCTGGCAACTGGTCTCTGATCAGGTTACTCTGGCCAAACACATTAGGTCTCTAACTTGGACCTTGAGGGAGCAGGCTCCTTGGACATTTTGTGCCAATTGATCCAGCTCTTTTCTGCAGTGACCCAGGACCTCAAGACAGGGCTGGCCACAGTTTTTAAATGGAAGGCCTTTAGAATTCAGATGGAACCAGTCCCCACCCAGTCCCTGGAGGTTTTGGGAAAGAAAACACCACGTCATTGCAGAGTGGAAGAATTCTGCTTTCAGTCAGGATTAGCAAC